TCCCCCCTCCTTCCTCCATTTTTCCTACCTCTGCAATCTGGTCCCTTCCCACAGTCTCCTGGGCTTCTCTTGGAGATCCAGGCCCTGGCCAGCAGAGGGAGCGGCAGGGCGAGGTGGGTTGTACCACTGGGCCCCAGGGCCCCAGTGGCATCATGCTACCTGGGCTGGCTGTCGCTCCTCTATCCGCTAGCAGCAGGTGTCCTACCTGCTGCCATCACGGCGCTTGCGTTGTGCTTCCTGGAGGAGGGTCGCGGCCACAGTCAGTAAGTGGGGGGTGAGAACGGCTTCATCCAGGAGTTGATGCCCAGTTATCCAGCGCCTAGATGATGCCTTTCTTCATCCCCTTCGACCAGCGCAGCCCCGGACCCTCCTCCGCACCCCTGGCTGCATGGGACACGCCCTCACGCTTGTGCTGCCCTGCCAGTCTCTTCCCAGCATGCTCTTCTCCTTCTCTTCTGGAGGTCCTGGAGGGGTCCCTGGGGCTGGGCCATTTCCGAGATCCCATCATTGGAGGGCAAGGCTATGCCCCCAGTGGGACACTCCCCAGGGCTGGGCCCGGAGCCACCCTCTGCCTGGGTGGCTGAGAGCAGACAGGCCAGAAGGAGATCAGGGCCTGTCTGGGGGCCTCTCCCACCGACAGGGCTGTGCTGTGCTTTCGCAAGGGGGCGCTCTGAGGGGATGTAGCTCCCAGAAAAGAGGGGCAGGGGTTGGGGAGACCATGTCCATTGCTCCCAGGACTCAGGAGGGGGCCAGGGCTCTGAGCAGACTGACCCTTCGCTGCCACAGGAGGAGGGTCTCCTTGAGGGGCCTTAGCCTCTACCCAGGGCTCTTCCATGACCAGGAGGCTGAGGGCCCTCACAGGCGGCTGCTTCCTCTCCCTGGAGCCCAGTCTGGAGACAGTCCGGCTTCCCAGGACTCCCAGCTCCGTGTCCCCTCCCTCAGAAAGCTGCCAGCGGGTGCCCTGCTTCTGCTCTTGTCCAGCCCTGCCCAGTCTGGGTGCCCAAAGGGCACTAGACCAGTGTCCCCTTGGGCCATGGCCTCTGTCGTTTGTGTCCCTCACTCACTCGGGTACCTGGTGGGAGGTGACCTGTGCTCATCCCCTGTGCTAGTGGCATCCTTAACCCACTAACCAGCCATGCAGCCAGCCCAGGCGCATGCGTGGGAGGGGGTGGGGAGAGGACCCTTAGAGTAGGACAGGGGTCATGGCTCTCTCCTCCTTTCCTGCCCTGACCCCCTTGCACTCTCCTCCCCTGCCTCCTCCACACTCCCCTCTCCCGTGCCCCCTCCTCACCTTTGCAACTTTGGTTCTTCATGGCGCCAGGAGGTGGTTGTTCCTTCGGGAAGACCTTCCTGTGAGGAGGACACAGCTTGCACAAAGGCCAGGTGACCTCATGGGGCAGTGGGCGTGTGTGGTGTGTGCATTTGTTGGGTGAGTGGGTTGGAGCAAGTGGGTTGGTGAGTGTGTGTGTGTGAGACAAAGGGAATGGAGGTGCCACCATGGAATGCTGTTGGCTCAGGATAGGCCTTGACCCCACTCTGATGATGTTTGATATGAAAAGAGGAGTGGACGGTGTGTGGCCTCTCTCCTAAGATTCCTTTTTGCGGAACTAAACTGACCTCTGTGGAGGCCTGGGTTCTGCTGCGGGGTGGCTGTGCAATGTGGTAGGTTACGGTTAGGGTTAGGGTTAGGGTTAGGGTTAGGTGGAAGGCACATCAGAGACAAATCCTATTTATTCTGGAAGACCTTGTCAAGGGTCAGGATGGGGGTCCACCATCCCCTCTTAGTGATGTCCATCAGCCAGCAGCAGAGTGGTGGTGGGAGGCGGGCTCTGTGGTTTCCTCTTTCCCCCTGGAGGAGTGGGCCAGGGCTGCCCCAGTGGCAGGGAGGGGCTTCAAGCTTCCACAGCTCCTACCACACCTCTCACATGGGGCCTGGACCTGAGCCCTAATTGGACCAGCGGCCACTTGAAGGAGGGATGAGCAAATCCTATCTGAGTGGTGAGTATCATCAGCAGCCTAAGCTCAGGGCAGGGGTGGGCTGAGGTGGGAAAGAGGTCAACGGCCTCATCTGGGGTGGAACTCAAGAGTCCCTCTTGTCTCTCACAGGGTGCCAGAGCTTGGTGGATGCCAGCAATGGGGTGGGGGGGGGGGGGGGTTTGCAGGTGGTCATGGTGCCTTTGGGCAACGTCTAGCATGACCACGGGCCTGTGTGCTGGGCGCCTGTTGTCCAGAGTAATCAGATGCTTGTCTTTAGTGTTTGTTTGTTTGTTTATTTATTTATTTTTGTGGTGGCCATGATGTCAAAGCTCAGTATGCCATTTAATACGAATTTTCTTTCTGTTTTGTTTCAGGAGTAAAAAAAGGTTTGTATTGTGTATTGTGTGTGCTTTTAGATGTTTCTAGAAAGTGAGGACCTCATCACCTAATGTCTTTGCCTTTTCAGCTGTCCTTAGCCCCGGGGGCTGCCTCTGTCCTCTGTGAGTGGGGAGAAAGACTCTCTGGTTGGATTCGGTGGGACTTGGGCGGCCAGGACTTCCCTGGCAGGTGGTGTAGGAGGCCATGGCCACTGGTCTACCTGTGTGTGCGTGCACACGTGCGTGTCACTGTGGAAAACGTGTGCACCATACTGGGTGTTGGAACTCCCCACTGAAGGATAGGTTTTATTGTTTGGTGACAAATTGTCTCTTTGGCTTTAACTAAGCAGTGGTCCCGTTGACCCTCCAGTCAACAGCGCTGACCTGGGCTGCAGGGACACGCAGGGTCATCCATCCCCCCCTCCCCCACCCAAGTAGGCATGTAGGTTTGCCCTGGGGGTCCAGTCTCTGGTACCCCAAGGCCTGCCTGGTGGGAGTGGCCTCCTCACCATGACCCCAGGCTGTGGCCCCAGAGAATTCACACCAAGGGAAGTGAGCCCCGAAAGAGTGTCATCTGGGAACAGATGGGATTTTGGGAGCCAAGGGCCCTTGGAGGTTGTGTCTGGTGGCCCCTTACACTCCCCTTCTCTCTTGCCATATCCCAATCACGGACGAGGAAACTGAACCTGGGAGAGGGGTGTGCAGCCAGTCAGCCTGGAACTGGTAGGGGTGGGGACAGGCCCAGAGGTAGACCTCAGCCCCTGGCTCTAAACCAGAGACCCTGACCATGATCTCCTGGTGATGCTATCGGGGCTAGATTCCTGGAACAGACGGGCTGGTGGGTGAAGGCCAGTCACCCTTGGGGACCAGGAAGGGCATAGGGCATGAGACCAGTGTGGGACTGGGGAGGGCTCAGAAGTCAGGGGTCAGTGGAGGATGTGGCTTTCCTTAGGATGCGTGGAGAGGGGCAGGCTCGCCAGGGGGATGGGCAGTCAGGACCCTGGAGAGCCCCTGACCTATGAACCTGAGGTCTGCTTGGTGACCTCAAGGGAGTGGCTTCAGGGGCAGATTCCTGCGCTGAGGGGACAGCCCTGGGTGCCAGGCCCACAGGTCCAGATGCAGTTCTGGGTCATGCCAGGAGTGGTCCCTGTGCAGGGTGGGGCAGGGGGTCTGGAGCTGCTGCTGGGTGGGTGGACCCCGAGGCCAGGCAGGGGGCCCTGGGTGAGTAAGTGTGAGCGCTGAGGGAGCCAGTGCCCCTCCCTCCAGTCTCCCCTGCCCCCACACTGCACTTATCCCATGGTTCCCTCCCCCATCTCAGCTCTGAGCATGCTCAGAAGAGCCATTTTGCCTCTTCAGGGCAGTGTGAGGACCTTGGCTCTCTCCATTGGGTGGGGACAGTGGTGGGAGAGTTAGGAACTGTGGTTCCTTGGTTCTCAGACCCTGAGTTAGGAGGCAGAGCACACCCTACCCACCCCTCATTTCCCATGCGGGAGGAAGGCCCAGGCCAGAGGTAGGACTTGGATTTCTGGGGTCCCTCCTCTGGCTCCCCAAGAAGAGGCAGTTCCTGGTGTCCCCCCTTCCGGGATTGTGTCCCAGGCGCCAAGCAGGGCCTGTTTCAGTGGGGAGTTCCACCCTCCCATCTCCTCCCCCCCCCCTCCATCCTATCTGCCCCCTACTCTCTACCTTCAGAACAAACCACCAAGTCAGATAATCATTTAATCTGCTTTATTTGGGGGTAGAACAGAGGAGGGAGCATGCAGGGAAGGGTCCGTCCCTGTGGCAGAAAGCAGTGGGTCTGGCAGGAGCACTCTCAGCAGCTCAGCACAGTCTCTGGGGGTCTCACAAGTCCATAGTCTCTTTCAGAGCCCCTTGTGCTCTCAGTGCTGGGCGGGGGTTGGGGAGCCCTCAGTGTCCTGTGGAGTCGGGGGGACTCCCAAGGATGCAAGTCCGGTAAGTACTGGTGCGATGGGACGTTCCGTGGAGCAGATTGTCCAGGTAAGTCATAGCAGAGTCAGGGTCAGGCAGTGAGTGTGGCGTGGGCTGGGCCAGACTGTGGGGCGGCTGCTTTGCAGGGGGCGGTGGGGGTGGGATGGGGACGGCACCACGATCGTGAAGATGTGGGAGTGGGGTGGGGTCCGGGGGAGCAGGAGCACCGGAGATGGAGGTAGAAGTCAGTGGAGCACCCAAGGTCAGTGTCCCAGGATGGCACAGGTGGCCCTGCGGCCACTTCAGCGGGGTGGTGGGTCTCTGGCATCCGCTTGCTTGGCTGCATCTGCTGTGCCTGATTCCTCACCTGGCCTGGGGTCATGGGGTCATTTCCTGCTCATCACTGCTTTCTCCTGACATGGATCTCACTCCCAGCGGTGGGCCTGGGACCTGGAGAATTAAGACGGAAGGAATGTGTAGCCCTTAGCCGGCTCTGAGTCTGTGGTGACTGGCTGGCCTGTTGGCACTGTTGATGTTGCTGGTTGATGAGTGGAAGAGGCCGTTGCTCTTCTTGAGTGGCTTCCCCTTGAGTCAGGAGTGGCAGGAGGAGCGCTGGGTCCGAGCGAAGCAGACGGAGGCACAGGGAGGCTGAGTGGAGGCTGGGCGGGGAGTCTGGCGCGGAGGGGAGGAGGGTTGGTAGCTGGTGAGGAGCTTTTTTTTTCAGTCCTGGTCCAAGTCCTCGTCATCCTCAGGGAGCTCCTCTAGCCTTGCTCCGCCCCTGGCCTGTCTGCCTCGGAGGGGGACTGGATCCTCTGCGCAGATCATGGCCAGGAAGTGGGCTAGGCTCCTGGCCGCTGGGTCCTGCTGAGGCTCGTCCTGGGGAGGTGCATGATCGGGCTGATCTCGGTCCCCAAACAACTGTCTGTACAGGAAGTCCAGGATTCCCCCGGAGGCCCGTGGGGGGGCTGGGGGGGCGGGGGCGGGGTCGGCCGCCGCTGCAGCCTCCTGCTTCTGGTCCTCTTTCTCTCCGTCCCCTCCCGCGGTAGCTTCCTTCTCCTGGTCCCCTCGTGCGCCGCCGTCCTGCGCGTTGTCTGCCTGCGCGTCCTGCGAGGTGTCTTGCAGGCCGTCATGCAGGCCACACTCACGGTAACGTTGCAGGTCGTCTTGCAGGGCTTCTCGCAAGACGACTTCACTTCCGATGACGTGCAGCTGCAGGTAGTGGCCCCCGTGCCGGGGGGGCTGGGGTCTTGGTGTGGGAGCGACTCTGACAGAGAAGCGCTCGCACAGCATCACCCAGAACTCAGGCGGGAGGTGGAGGACCCGGGAGCCCCGGGGCATCAGGGCCCTCTGGTGGCCCTGTTCCTCAGTCCGGATGGTGACCGGGCCCATGAGAGGGGCCATCTGGGCCAACAGTTGGGTGATGGCCGAGGCGATGCCACGGTCGGTGAGGAGGGACGAGTCCAGGATGAGGCGCAGGGAGCGCGTGGCCGGCAGGCGCGCCACGTCCAGGGCGGGCGCGGGCAGCAGCGGGAGGTGCTGCCTCATCCTCAGGATGGTCAGCGTGGCGATGGGGGCCAGCGCCTCCCTGCTGATGTGCAGGTTTCGGAAGAAGTGCCGGAAGAGGCTCCTCAGCTGGTCCATGTTGAGGTGGACGAGGAGGTAGCCGAGCACCTGGTCCAGCTGCGCTGGAGTCAGGGCCTCGGGCGGTGGGGTCTGCCTCCTTGGCTCTTCCTGGGCAGGTGCCTGCTCAGCCTCCCTCTGTTCTCCCAGTGCGGGCAGCTGGTCCCGGAGGGACCGTTCCCTGATGACGGGACCCTGGGGCCAGGTGGTAGTGTAGGCCCCGGGGGCAGGGCGTGCCCGGGGGGCAGGGCGGGCCCGGATGGCATGGTTGGCCCACATGGCAGTGCGGAGCCGGGCGGGATTGTTGGTCCCGGTGCCAGCATTGGCCTGGGTGGCAGTGTCCACACGGGGGACCCTCTGGGTCTGTGTGGCAGAGTGGGCCCGGGCGTCAGCGTGGGCCTGGGTGGCAGCGTGGGCCTGGGTGGCAGCGTGGGCCTGGGTGGCAGCGTGGGCCCCGGCGTCAGCGTGGGCCTGGGTGGCAGTGTGGGCCCGGGCGGGATTGTTGGCAGGCATGGCCGTGCGGGCCCGGACGGGATTGTTGGTCCCGGTGCCAGCGTGGGCCTGCGTGGCAGTGTCCGCCCGGGTGACCGTGGGGGTCTGGGTGGCAGTGTCTGCCCGGGTGGGATGGCTGGCCCCAGTGTCAGCCTGGGCCTGAGTGGCAGTGTCCGCCTGGGTGACCGTGGGGGTCTGGGTGTCCGTGTGGGTCTGGGTGACGGTGTCGGTCTGGGTGGCAGTGTGGGCCCGGGTGTCAGAGCGTCCCCGGGTGGCGGCGCGGGCGCGGGCGCGGGCGCGGGCGCCGGTGCGGGCGCGGGCGCCGGTGCGCCTCCGGGTAGCAGCGCGGGGCTGGGAGGCTGGGCGGGCCCGGAACGGCCCGTGGTCGGGCCTCTGCACGGGCTGGGAACTGCTGCCATCTTGGTCGGGCCTCTCCATCACACCGAAGTTGAAGCGGCCGAAGAACTTGGCCCACTGCCCCGGGAGAACTACGGTGAGCCTGTCATTATTCAGGGAGGCTAGATCCTCTGTATTGATAAGGATCATGATGGGCTCCTCGGTGCTCTCCAGGTAGTAAACCCACACGTCCAAGGCAGCCCTGATGGCGACAGACTTCATCGTGAGCGGCGGGGCGGCGACCTCCTCGGGGGAGAGGTCCCGGGAAAAGAACGCGCAGAACACCCTTTTGCCCGTTTGCTCGTCGTACTGGATGAGGGAGGCGTACAGCGCGCCCATGCTGATTCCCGAGTCCAGGTAGAACTGCTTGCGGTGCCTGGGGTGGTAGAGGAGGGGGGCCTTGCGGAACGCCCGCTTCACGCTCTCGAAGGCCTCCTGCTCCTCGTCGCCCCAGTGGAAGGGGCTGGGGGTCAGCAGCTGCCGCCGCAGGGGCTCCGTGATGCCCGCGAAGCGCTCCACGAAGTGGCTGTAGGGGGACATCAGTGCCATCATGCTCTGCAGGGTCTCCTTAGAGATAGGGATCGGGTAGTCCCGGACGGTCTTCACCACGCTCTTGTTCAGCTTGACCCCTCGGGGGGTCAGCACGAAGCCCATGAACTCGACGGTGTGCTGGTGGAACTGGCTGCGGTCCAGGTAGCAGTAGACGCGGTGGTGCCGGAAGCGCACCAGGACTTGGCGGATGTGCCGGAGGTGTGCCTCCTGGCTCAGGGAGTAGACCACCACCTCGTTGCCGTGGGAGAGCACGGAGTTGCCCAGCAGGTCCCTTAGGATGATGTGCATCACGCGCTGGGGGATGCGAGGGGCCGCGCCGGTCGGAAAGGGCTTGTAGGTGGTCTTCTTGGTCAGCACCAGTCCAAACGCCGCTTTCCATAGCTCTTCCGTTGGCTTTCTCTTGGCTTCCTGCACCACGGTCCCGCGCAGCTCCAGCCTCGTGAACCACGTGGCGCCGTGTAGCTGCTGGAAGAGCTGGGGGATGATCTGCCTCTCCTCCTTTAAGTCCTCGTCCACATTCTCTGGCTTGGCTGCTTCTTGCACCCCCGCACCCCCAGGTTCCGGAGGATCCACAGAGGGACCCATCGCGGCGGCGGCGTTGCTGTGATCACTGTCTCCAGCCTGCTGAAGCTCAGAGGGCTCTGATTCAGAAAGATCATCGGATCCGTCTGAGCTTGGCTGGTCGGAAGTCTCATCATCATCATCCGCGATCCTGGGGTTGAACACGTCGGCAAGGTCGGAGTACTGGGGCAGCAGGCCGGGCAGCAGGCTGATGGCATGTCTCTCGAGCGCGATGGTCGGTGGGAGCGGGCTGAAGCAGTTCTTCAGGCAGTAGGGCGAGTGGAAGGTGACGCGGCCTCTGGCCCAGTCGATGTCGGGGGAGTGCAGTCGGAGCCAGTTGACGCCCAGGACCACGGAGAAGTTGGGTGACGGCACGATGTCGAATTGGATGAGCTCGTGGTGGTTCTGGTGGAAGCACACCAGAGGCTCGGTTTGCAGCCAGACGGGCTCGTTGCCGATCAGGGAGCCGTCCATGGTGTGGATGGACTGCGGGTAGGGCTTCTCGTACAGCTCGACATAGTGCTCTTGGGCGAACTTCTCATCCATGAAGTTGGAGCTGGCCCCCGAGTCCACCAGCGCCTGGACGGCGACACTGTGGTAAGGATTCACTCTCACCATGAGCAGCAGGAAGACGTGCCTGCGGTCGACGTCGGGCTGGATTTCGTAGGTCAGCCAGCTGCTGACCGGCCACTTCTCGGGAGCAGGTAAGACCTTCTTGGCAGCCTCTGCGAGCCTCCCGGACTGGGAGTGCGGGCGCACCCTGAGCATGGCCTTTCTCTCCGCCAGGTTCTCTTCTATCTGCAGGACGAGGGTGATCAGACTCTCCAGAGAATCGGGCTGAGGGAGCTGGAACAGATACTCCCTGATCTCCTCGTTGAGCCCCAGGCACAGATGGGCCTGCAGGACTTCGTCTGGCCAGCCCAAGGTGGGTACCAGCTTCTGGAACTCATTGATGTAGTCGATGGCGGCGCGGTCCCCCTGAGTGATGTTGAGCATGGTGTCTTCTGCTATGCGCAGCTCCTGCTTGTAGTGGAAGGCCTTGGTCATGGCTTCCATGAAGGCTGCGAAGTTGGTAAGCAGGGGGCTTCGTTGCTGCTTCAGCTTTCGGGCCCACTCGAGGGCCGCGTCAGCGAGGTGCTCGATGACAAACCTCACTCGCCGGCGGTCGTTGCAGAACCTTCTTGGGTAGCCGTGTACGACCATGTGGCAGTGCACAAGGAACTCTGGGTAATCTCTCCGATCGCCGGAGAAGATGGGCGGCTCTGGCACGCTGCCCATCCTGATCGCTTTCATCAGGATATCGATTGCTATTTTTTGCTGCTCTTTGAGGTCTTGCATCCAGAAGTACATGGAGGTGAAGGAGCTGATCCCGCTTCTTAATTCCGATTCCTCGGACTCCCCCTCCTCCTCCTCTTCCTCCTCCTCCTCGTCATCACTTAGGTCAGTGTCGTCATCGTCATCGTCGTCGTCATCGTCGTCGTCGTCGTCTTCTTCTTCCTCTTCCTCTTCCTCCTCCTCTTCTTCCTCCTCTTCCTCTTCCTCTTCCTCTTCTTCGTCCGGCTCTCCCTCATTGACCAATGCTTCTTCCATCTCACCAGGCGCCTCACCGTTGGGATCCCCCTCTTCCTGACCGGAAGCCTTGCATGACTCCTCCAGGTCTTGGAGTAGGTCATTGGGTGGATCCTCTATTTCATTATGTCGGCCACTGGATGGCTCCTCCATGTCTTGGAGGAGGTCAATGGGCAGCTCTCCCATTTCCTGGGCTGGGCCTTGAGCCAGCCCCCCCGCCGCCTCAGGTGCTCCGCCTTCTCTCTCCATGGTGGTGTTGGATGAGCCCTCAGAGGACTCCATTTGTTTTGATGATGGATTCTTACGCTCCATCATCGTCTCAAATGAGTCTTCAGAGGGTTCCATCATTTCGTCGGATGAAAAGGAGTGTTCTCTGAAGACTGGTAAGGTGGTGATGCGTCCAGTCAGTGACTGGGATCGCAGAGATCAGAACCTGGTGGGGGTAGGGAGAGGGGCAGGAAAGGCACTGGGTTAGGGTCTCAAGAGGTCATGGTCAGATTCCCCAGGGCAAAGGGAATCTCCTACCCATTAGAACAGAGGGAAACTGGAGACGCCGTCGGGTCCCTTCTGTGATACCCGCGGGGAGAGAATAGGGAATATGTGTCAACCCTTGACCTTGCCTACTCTCTCCCAGGCTTCCTCTGCCTATCTTGCCTGCCTGCTTCCCAACAGCTGTGAGAAATTCACAGCCCATAAATTTGGTGGGGTGATGGGCCCGGAGCACCATCGCAGGCAGGCACCTGGCAGAACACACCGGCCGCTTCATTCCACGCTGGCACCCGTGTCAGGTCAATGCTCCTTCCCTCCGTGGTCACCCGAAAGGCACTGAGCTCACATGTCAGTGCTGTCCAAAGCCAGCGCTGCAAGCCAAGTGCTCTGGAGCAAGCTGGCCTTGGTGTGAGGCTCTAGCAGGAACGCCTGCCATCTAACAAGTTCAGGGGAAGAGGAGAAAATAGGCCCTTGGCCACTCTCCTGTCAGCTGGCGCAACTGCCCCAAATAGCTTTATTTCCTTCCCTAAATTCAAAGTAGAAATTGTGTGTTGGGGGTGGGCGGGCGCTGGATATAGAGCTCTGAATTCTGGGTTTTATTTCGCCCATAAATATTCAGAAAACAACCAGGAGGTGCCAGAGATTTGCACGTTACCATGTGATTTTAATTCGGAATTTTTTTGGGGGGTAATTTCTCTTCCCCTCTTTCATCAACTTGCAATGCTGAGTTTTCCTCAACTCAGAGCTGTTGAGGAAACTTGCCAGTCATCTCCCCACCCCGCCTAAAACCTCCACTTTCCCTGCATTGCCCTCTCTGTCAGTGGGGTCCAGGAACTTCCAAAATTTGGCCTTAGTTCCACACGTGCAAAGCGGATTGACTTGATCTGCCCCCTCCCCCATCCCAGTCTTACAGGGGAGGGCTGACCCCTTCACTGCAGCAGACATACCCTCTCTGCTGCTAACTGGTCTTCCCCTCACACAGGGGTGTATCCAGTTGAGTTGTGATATTGAGTGAGGAGTAGAGGTGGGCGGTATCTTGGACATCTGACTGTCTTGGAGAGGACTTTTGAAAATTTGGTCATGGTGTTTTTGTGGACCAAGACTGAATTTAAAGGGATTTTTTTGGTGGGATTTTGCACATTTCTTCTCTGCTGGGGAACAGCAAACTGAGTTCTAGCCACTCAGTAGGTTAGCTCTTTATTTGTGTGACACCTTGTCTTACTTCTTGGTTTCCTCCATTAAAAACAAACATTCATGCTCTTCTGTAAAACTCTTCATTGCCTAACATCCAAACTATCCAGTGAGATACAAAATTTTGATCTGCTGTTTCTTGAAATTAAGTAAATCGTTCTTAGCATGCCAGTTAAATATGATCCCACAGGATCTCTGATGAAAACTTTTGTTGTTTATTTATTGTCTACATTATTAAGTCCAAATCTTTTTGCATAAAATTCCCAACACATAAATTCCCAAGAAGCATTTTCTGGCTAAAATTTTAAGGCCATAGAATAATAGAAAATTCTGATCATATTATTTCTCAAGGTAGATTTACATTATTTTTTAGCATAAAATCTCATCACCACCTTCCTCATCATCACCATCTCTATCACCATCAACATCTCCATCACCATAAGCATCTCCATCATAGCAACATACACAGTATACCTTGCATAAATTAACTTATTTTCTCTTCATAAAAAATTCTATAAGCTATGTGTATTCTAAAATTCCAAGTCTCTGGTATAAAGTTCTAATTGAAATACTAATTTTGACTAATTCACCTAATTTTCTATTAGGGATAAAAATCTCAGTATGTATCTTAAGACCCATAAAACCTTTTTTTGGCTAAAGTTTTAAATTTAAAAATTCAAATTGGCTAAAATATGAAAGTTAAAATATAAAACCTCAACATCTCACTAAAAACACTTAAAATTATTCATTGGCTATTATTTCAAATTAAAAAAGTGATAAAAATTAAAATCTCATATGTCTTAAAACCATTGGCTAATATGAATTTAAATTGATTAAAATTTAAAATCTCAATGTTTTTATTAATATTTAAAATTATAATATTAAAATTTTTAATTGATTCAAATTTTAATATATCTAAGTCCTTAAAACTCTATTAGCTAAAATTCAAGCTCCTTAGCAAAATGATTTAAAAATTAGATATATACTCCTCTTTAACATAAAATCTACAATTATTAATATATTTACAAATTTGAGGATATAATTAAGGCCTTCAACTTTCTTATCCTCAACGTAAAATCTAATATCCTCCGCATGTCATAAAAAAAAACTCATCTTAATAATCCTCTTAATATCAAAGCTTAAACTTTTAACAAGATGCATAAAAGTTATCTCATAACTTCTCTATTTAAAGGTTGCAAATGTTCTTTTTTCACTGCTTATAAAATATGAAGTTTCAATCACTTGCCATAAAATAAAATTTTTTACCACGTAATTTATTTGCAATCTGACGGATATAGAACCCAAAATCTTACCTAACTACTTCTTAAACTCATTATTGACTTTATTCCAAACTTCTAAGCATGATGCAAAAATTTGACCATGTCATTTCTCAAAATAGAAGGTAACGCTCCCTTGCAAGTTCCTTTAATTTGGCCCTGTAACTTCTGTAAAAGCCTGTAATATTCTTAATCACCTTTAAGACAATAGCCGAACTCCTTAGAATACAATACACATTTAATTTTATAATTTCTAGGCACACTGCTCTTATCAAACACAGAAATTTCGCCATGTCCTTCTTTAAGATTGCTTCATGGCCCCAATCCAAATTCCCTACGAGGCACAAGAATGCAGTCCTGTCATTCTTCCAAGAAGTGTCTAAACCTCTTTGCATGCTATGGGAATTCAGTCATATGACCTTCGCATGAGCCCCCACCCATGACTTGCTGTGCATGGTACAGTTCCTCATCATGAGCTACTAAGTGGATGCACTCGTGCCAAAGTGCGCCTCCTCTGAGCTGTCCATGCTCATTTATTATCTGGTTCATCAAATCCAGACACCTTAGCATAAAAGTTGTTTTGCCAGCGAATTCCCCTGGAGACAGAACTCTTATCAGTCACTCCTTAAAACATTCTGTTGGCTACCATCCAGTGCCTCTGCATGAAGAGTTCAAAAATGAGATCTTACTCCTCCCTGAAATGAAATGCTCAAATAAATGCCTTCAACTCTCACATGAAATCTCATCTCCTTGGCGAGTTATAAAAATATGATCATATTATCTTTATCATAAAAATCTACTTTTGTAGCTCTGCTGAAATGCATAAGGTTGATCGTGTAACTCGATTTGAAACTTTTCAAGGTTTCTTCATTGCCTTGTAACATAAAGTCCCAACTACTTAACATAAAATGCAACGTTTTACCGTGTAATGTATCTTCAGGCTGGTCTATAAAAACACCTAAATCTTACCCCGTCATTCTTTTCAAGCCTTTATTGGCTTAAATCCAAACTGATTAGCATGATATAAAAATTCGATCTTGTCATCCCTTAAAATAAAATTCACACTTCCTCGCACAGTGTATAAAATCTGATCCTGGGACTCTGCCTTACACTCACATACTCCCTCTCTCCGTTGTGGAATTATGGAATAAAAGGCCGAGTTCTTAGCATAAAATGTGAATTTTATTTTATCATTTCACTGCATACTGTTTATCAAATACAAAAAAATAAAATCACAATGTCCCTCTCTTAGAACTTTATTGGCTAAAATCAAATTTCTAGGCGTGTGGAAGAATCTAATCATGTCAGAGCTTGGAAATAAATTCCAAATCCTTTTGCATACTCCCCATGCTGGCCATGGGAGTCCCCTATGGAAATCTCTCAGCTTTGGGGCCAACATCAATCAAACTTTCTTGGCATGTTCCCCAAGTCAGATCTCAGCATCCCCTCGACCCATAAAGCCCAAATGTTTTTAGCATGATGCCTGCATTTGTGGCTGTTCCTTTCCACGCTACAATTTTCAATGTTTCCCTGTTGCCTAGAATGTCAGAGTCTGAAGCCATTAGCCTTAAAAATACATCTTATCCTGTTTATCTGCAGACTTATCTCCCACAGGCAAAATCCTCACCATCACATTTCTTAAAACCCTTTGGCAGGAACCCAGACTCTGTAGAATGATTTAAAGGTTTGATTCTGTCAACTTCTCAAAAGCAAGCCCAGGTTTCTTCCCTCCAAACCCCCAAATCTATTCATGAAAGCCCTGCTTAAAATCTCTTCACGTGTCTCCATCACTGACAAAATACCTGGACATCTCAGCACGATATCGATTTATGGTGGCATTCTCGGCTTAAAACCTTCCCTATTTCATGTCCCAGCACAAAAGCTGAAGGCCTGAGCACGGAGGGAAAATGGCACCAAGTGTTTGTTAAGCTGAAAACTCCTTCACATTGCTCTTCATTAGTTAGA